TCTACCTTTGTTCATGCCACTTTCCTTTTGCCTTCTTGTCTCTTTCATTGAAACGGTCTTGCAAAGTGATTTTCGCCTTTGCCTTATCAATGTTCTTTTCCTCATTCTCTGCTCATGAGCTTCAAGAGAGTTTTTCCAGCTCCTCCTTGCTCATCATCGTAAGATCCTTTGACTACTCATACGCAACTACTACATTGTCAAATATTGACGTCAAAGAAATCAAGATTTTCGCAATAACATACGCTATGTGATTGTTTCTCCATACACCTTTACTTAGCTCCGCCAATCTTGCGATTCTCATCATGAATTCTCTAATTATTTCCTTTTCTTCCATTTGAATCAACTCAGTGTCTCAGATGAGTTTTTAACCTCACCACCTTTTTCCTTATCAACTCCTGCATAACTTTTCTTCATGATTTTCCAAAGCTTCCTTTGAGGGTGCAAAATCATCAACCTTCTCAAAATTATCAGCATCAACACATTGATGATTCAGATACAACGCCTTGTAATCTTTTGTCTTATATTCCTTATGTGCAATTGTTGCATCCTCTCATGTGGAGTAACTCCGCTCTTGATAACTTCCAGAACATCTTGATAACAAAATAACACATTCATTTGTATGCGCCACTTATTATAATTCTTCGCATCGAGAATTGGGAGATTCACAAGGATTCGTTCATTGGAAATGAAAACATTTTTACACTCTAGGTGTTTGATGGATCGAACCAGACTCTTGATGCTAGATATTAAAATAAAGAACCACAAGAATGGTGATTTTGAATGTGGAGTGAGAGAGAGTGAGAGAATGAGAGACTAATTATTGAAGGTGAAAAATGGTGAACATTTATTATTGAGATAATCAAAGGGTATATATATACATTTACATAGAGTAAGGTATAAGTAACAAACATAAAAATCGAAAAGTTGTAGCTGTAACTAATTACATGCCTTGTAGTAATCGGTTACTGAACGATTTTGTTTGAGTACTACAGTGTGATAATCGGCTACATCCCAAAAGTAACCGATTACAAGTCAATTTTATTTCAGCTAAATCAGTTACAGCACCCACCGTCACCAATCAGTTACAGCCCCACCGTCACCTACACTTTTCACTCAACATTTTTAACGTTATTTGAATCAATTACTTTTTAAAATTATCTCACCTATGTAAATCTCCTTACTTTTCTAAATTAATTTAATTTAATGGCAGTTTTAGTTGGTTAACAAAGAAAAGTAAAATTAGTTAACCCTGTTGAACAGTTTTAAATGTGTGGAAGAAGTATAAATTGTTGCACCTGTCTTTCTTTTCGATAAGCTCTTTTCCGGATTAGTTAACTAATTGTGTTGTGTCATTTATGAGCTTCTTCAGTTTACACCAGGTTGATGCTAGTTGACAATCCCTAGTTGCTGTACTCCCGTGATAGTTTCTTGATTACAAGGAATTTTGAAAACAAAGGTATGATTAAAAATTGTAAATATAGAGATAAAAGAAGATAAATACAGAAAATTGCAATTTTTACACCAACAATTTTTTATCATTTCATTCAAAAACAATTGTTTCAATACAAGGTAAAATGGAATCGATAGTTTAGTCAAGTATAGTCACAAAATCTGTTTTCAGCAGCATGTTTAACTTGTCAAAGAGCTGAAAAATTAACTTTGTACATCCTTCTGCTACCTCCATATTGTCCTTTATAGATTAATGCCTCTAAGGACAGAACTCTGAGAGGCAAATGTATCATTAACCAACACAAATAAATGAAAGTGAGAGGAAACCAAATTTTAAAAAACTACCACAAACAAAGAAATGATGAAATCTCAAGAACTATAATCCTAATTTTGGAGCATAGACACTAACATCATAATTATATCACTAAAATTAGATTTACAAAGTTAAAATCATACTCATTGCTTTAAAGATCAGAATCACACATTCTCTAAGATCCATTCAATGAATATAAGCTGAAATATCATAAAAAAGATTTATAAAATTTTCACAAAACTAATTGTAGTAGGTAAGTTGAACTAAATCAATTCAAACAATCTAAATAGATTTTGTGTAACTTATAAGAACTAATATGATTAGCATTTGGGTTTCCATGTGGACAAAGGTGGCGTTTTCACCAAGAAATTCAATGTTCTCTCAGCACTAAACTTTTAAGCACCTCTTGAAAGAAAGGTTAAACAACAGAATGGTGCATCATTTCAACAAAGTTGTACGTTCTATCATTCCTTCGTGAATTGAAAATTAAATATACATCTACATTTTTTCTTATATATACATATGATGAAACAAGAATGTTATTCGCATTGGCTTCCGCCATGCACTTCAACACACGTAATTACATATAGTTGGTGCCATAGTATTACGACAGAATTAGACGCAGAATCTCTCCAGATAACTTGAATGACTTCTCTGTTTCTTCCAGACAATGATTCTTCTCTTCTCGAGTCCATTCCTGAAGAAACAACAAAGAATACCAAAGTTATATTCATCACCATTACTGAAATTTGAAAGTTATCATGCTAGCCTTAGACATGAAGCATTAGAAATAATTTTGTATGCAAATGATTAAGAGATTTCAAGAAACATACTTCAGCAACTTTATTCAGTTTGTCCTCTCACGTTCTGCAACAACTGTGAAAGGTCACCATCCCATTTATAGAACTCCAAAGCCTGGTTGTTAAGTAACTGACTAGCAATCTGTAAGGATATCAAATGCATAGGCAACAATAATTATTAGTTTTTGTCACATCAGGTCAAAATGACTGAACTTCAATGTTTACAGAATCTTACTTCATACTACTAAGAGGATCTATAATTTTTTTAGAATGACATAACCCCAGGAAACTTTACATATCTACCCAAAAGTAGCAAAAGACCATACTTATGCTTAAAGCTTGTAATTAATTGTTTTTTGGTTAAATGGAGACTGATATTAGAAAATATTTTACTCAATTGCATTTCAGGATTCAGTTGTTCTGCTTGTTGAAATTTCTAAACAGGTTATATAATTAAAATGTTTCAGAAACTGCTTTGGGCTGAAAAGTTCTTTTTAAGTGTAAAATGTGCTAATCCAATCATGTATTGTTTGATTACATTTAGCATGCCAATTGTACCACCAGCAAACATAGTATTTGATACTGAGAGATATGAAGCATATAGTTACCTTCTTTCCAATCATTCGACCGCCAGCTGAATGTGCAAAGTAGATGTTGTAAAAGTGGCAAATGAAGGCCTGGGGGTCGCTGTGAGACAAATCTGTAAGATATTGTGTGTAGGTAAGACCAGGAGATGAAGGTTCCGGAATGGTATAACCTTGCTCCTTGAACCACTCCAAATCTTTGTCCAAACTTGCAGATCTTTCCAATCCAGTATTTTTGAATTCAGCATCTGCACACCAAACACAACCACCCGCCAATTAGATAATCAAATAATGCCAACTCAAAAGCTCTCACAGATATGTTGAAGTAGTAACAAATACATGTGACAACAAGAAACAGTCGTAAAAATACAATAATAAATAAGATAATTAGAGTAGTATATGAGATAAAGAAAGTTACAGTAAGGATAAGCAGCATCTTGAACAATCTTCTCTAGTGTATCGTAAACAAGCTTGCTATCAACAAGGAACCTCAAGTAACCATCGACAGTAGGTTCCCACTTAGTGACGGATCTCTCTTCAGGCTTTTCAACTTCTTTCTCACCTTCCTTAGCCTGGTCCTTCGTATGCAACCTCATAGCCACAAACCTCATCTCCTCCACAAACCCCTTTGCCTCACCGGGATGTCGCTTCTTTTCCGCCGTCGTCGCAGACACAACAACCGTTTCTTTCCTTGGCATCCTGGGCACCTCGAATGATAGCTTCCTTTGAAAGAAGAAATTGGAACGAAATTGACGAGTTTGTGAAAGAGAGAGTTGGGGGTAATTGGTTTTATAGAGAAAAAGGGAATGGATTTGGTAAAGAGCTGTGGGTGACGCCATGGAAGAGAAGAGAGTTGAGTTGAGTGCACGGAGGGTGTTTGATAGGATGTGAAACTGAGAATAAATTAGTATTGGAGATGTGAGAGGTTGATGCAGTAACCTAGAAGCAACGTTGAAGAAAAAGCGACCTTATATAGAAAATAATAATAAAAAATGGAATAAAATTAAAATAAAGAAGGTGTATTAAAATAATAATGGTGGTTCATTGGATGAGGATGAGTTTTTGAAATGTTAAGCACCAGGGGGTGCCGGTGTTCAGTCTGAGGACTTGTGTTCTGTGCCTGCCTTCTCCTTTAATTCAAGAGAGGCTTTCTACTAATAGCAAAGGATTACAAAGAATAAAATTCTTCTAAACGATTACGACCATAGAATTTAAAACTGTTTTATTTGTTTTTCAAAAACTGTTTTAGTGGTTTTTCAAAAATTAAAATTTGGTGGTTTATATATTTTTTTTAGAAATTGTTTTTTAAAACTGTTTTAAGTTTTGTTGTTTTTTAAAGGATAATTTGCTTTTCAGTTTCTAATATTTATCTATTGCTACAACTAAAAAACACGGAAAACTCTATTTAAAAATATAAAAAACTAAACAGTCTAAACTAATTATGTAAATAGGAATAATAAAATGAAAAATACATGACAATATAATTATTATTAAAAAAGGTTAAATATTTAAGATAAAAACTAAAAAAAGATACATTTGAAAGAAAATAATTACATTAAAATTATGTTTTCCCTTTATGTATATTGTTTACATAATTGTTTATTTTTAATTTTATATTTAACAAAATAATAGAGTATAATGACTCTCGTGTGTGTAGAGATGACAATTTGATTTATTTCCAATAGATATTCACAAAAATTTCTACGACAGATAGGATAAAAACCGCACAAATGAGTACGGATACGGACTCGAGTAATTACCCACTTAAATAAAGTGGGTAAGAATGTGGATATGGGCATCTAGTACCCACCTCGTCCCATACTCGTACAATATATATATATATATATATATATATATATATATATATATATATATATATATATATATATATATATATATATATATATATATATATATATATATATATATATATTATATTAAAATAAATGTCTATCAATTTAAAAAAATCATCGATGTTAAAACATTACATTTATAACATAAGTGTTCTTTTATTTAATAATTCAACAATAAGTTTATTGAAAAAATTTAAATATTCTTAACAACTTAAAATAATATGATATTTTATACTTTATCTATTTTTTTATTTAAAATGTGAGCAATAGGCACGGATATGGATACTTATATATCTAGAGGACACGGATACGAGTGTTAATATTGTTACCTAAGCGGGTATGGACTCGGGTACGGAGATTTTTTACAACCACGAGTATGGGGACGGGTATTATAGTACCTACCTATATCCTGCTCATTGTCATCCCTACGCGTGCGGAACTTTTCATTAAGGGTTAAATATATTTTTGGTCCCTTTAAAGTGGTTTTTAATTTAGTCCCTCTAAACATTTCCTTCACTGAATCGTCCCTACAAAATTTTCCATCCATAAGATTTGTCTCTGACGTTAAATTGAACTAATGGTCGCTGACGTGTAATTAAAATTCATTTTACTTTATTTTATTAATATTAAAATACATTAAAACAGTTCAACATGGTATATGATTATTTAAATAATCTTGTAATCCTAAAATACCGATATAGATACCAGATGAAATCCTAAAATCTCACTCTTGGTCTGAAACACTCATCTTGTTCGCTTGAGAAGCGTAGTTGAAGCACGGATTTAAGCTTTCATCTTTCCTTCGCATAATCGTTCGTTGAAGCGCGAGATTCATTGTCTGTAGTTGTTGTTCGAAAGTTGTGGTCCCAAGTCACGTGCGTTATACTCTTTTTTGATTTGTTTATGGTACCCACTTGCCTGACAATTTACATTTTTTTGCATTATGTGTTGTATGGACCACTTTATTGTATTGTAGTGTTGACTGTTAATGGTAACTGGGACCATTTTGTTGTTCTCAATTTCTTTACTTCAATATTCATTATGTGTGTGGTCATATTCTGTGTGGTAATATCTAAGTTAACATGTTTACATGATGAAGTTATTTAAGGTTGTGTTTTTTACAAAGGGGTCTTTGTAAAAGACCCAAGTATAAGGTACGAAGGTGGGGATATTTTCGCATTTAGTGGACAAGACATAAATTTCTGGCCATTCTTTGAATCTCATAACCTTATCAAAGGGATGAACTCTATATTTAATATAGATGAAGTGAAAATATGGTGGAAGCATGAAGAGGGTTCTTTGGAAAAAGATCTTAAATCGTTTAGCAATGACGAGGATGCTTCAACCTTGGTTTGGTATGCTGTGAACAATAATTCTGATGTGAAAATTCACATAGGGACTAAAACTACTACAAGTGAGTTGGCCTATATGTAGAGGCTTATAGAGAGACAAAATGGGCATGAAAGTGATGAGGGAGATATTGGTGAAGAGTATGAACCAAGTGAATATTTTGTGAGTGGTATTCACTTTGAGGATAGTGAAGAAGAGAGAATGCAAGATTCTGATGGAGAACTTGAAGAAGAAACTAACATTGGAGGTGTGTCTAGAAATGAAAATGTTCAAAGTGAATCATACAATTATGGCTTTATCACAAGGGATGTGGATAAAGAACATGTTATAGAAGAAAATTACATGACAGATGAGCTTGACAATAGAGTTTTAAGGACTACAATATTCAAGGTTAAAACTTTATTTTCCAAACACATATGTGGTAGGAAATTCTTCAATAAGAACGCCAAGAGAGTCATTTAATGCTACTATACTCATGCAAAGAGACAAACCCATTATAACCATGTTTGAATGGATTATGAACTACTTAATGGGTAGGTTTGCAACACTTAGGGAAAAGATTGAGAATTACAAGGGTGAAATAATGTCAAAACCACTTAGGAGGTTAGATAGAGAGATAGAAAAGAGTTTTAGTTGGTTGCCAACATATGCAGGTCAGCTAACATTTCAGGTGACACATGTGATGTTCACAGATAGTTTTGTTATAGACTTAGGAAAATAAAGTTATTCATGCAACTTTTAGGATTTGGTTGGGATCCCATTTAGACATGTTGTGGCTGCCATCCATAAGAAAGTTGATGATCCCATCAAGTATGTAAGTAGATGTTATCATAGGAAAGTTTACTTAAGCTGCTATAATGAGGTTGCGGCACCCCTAAATGGGCAAAACAAATGGCCCAAGACTGATGCTCCAAAAATATTGCCACCACTTTACAAGAGGGGTCCAGGTAGGCCAAAAAAACTCAGAAAGAGGGAAGTAGATGAGGCATCCCAAACAAGATGGCAAATAACAAACACAAGCCATTGGTGCAAAACATGCCTAGTGTATGGTCGCAACAGCAGAACATGTAAGCAAGGTAAACAACTTGCAATTGTTCCTTGTGAAGTACCAAGAAGTGTTGAAAACACGTGACGTTGTTGGTCCAGAGAAGAATGTTGAGGATCCACTTGTGATACCTGAAGAGGACACAGAAGTTGGCAGTGCTAATGAAAAGAAGTCTTGGAAGACCATCGAGAAGAGCTTGACTCAGTGAGAAAAGATTATGAATACTATGTTTTTTAGTTCATTATGTACCCTTGTTTTGAACATGTGCATTAAGCACTCTTTTGTTTTGTGTGTACCATCAAAACTATTAACACTCTTTTGTATTGTTTGACAATGTCGGTTACCATATGTACTCTTGTTTTGAACATGTGTATTATGCACTCTTTTGTATTAAAATGTGTACTCTTTTGCTATGTTGAGATATGGTTTGCAAAAATGTGACAATTTTACAATACTGATAATGAATCATTAAACTCAGTAAACGATTTACAAGTATCCTCAAAATAGGTCAAATTTATAATACTGATAATGAATCATTATAATCACTAACCATAAAAACAATATTGATACGTTGAACAAGAACAACTAATCTTTCATTTAACTCATTAAGAATACTTATACATTACAATTGAACCACATGACACTTAACCTAAAATACATTTCATATGGATAAACCACTATTCAACACAAACATTTCAACACCAAATAAACATTGAAAAACAACGAAATAACAAGACACATATTTTTAATTTTTCTAGAAAGTTTCTCTTCTTTGTATCCTCATACAACTCTTTCAAATATTCTCTTGTTTCTATATCTTCATACTTTGTCTTCAACTTGATCCCATCATGATTTCCATATTCTCCTATGTCTTTATCCCAGATAAATAAATTACAATTTTTATCACTATTCCAAAATAGACATCTCCAAAATAGTCTCCCTTTATTGGGTCCCTTCTTGCCTTGGTAAGAGACCATTTGACCATTGCAACCACATAAACGCCTAGCTCGATGCTTCACAAAAGAAGATGAATATGAAACACCTTTAGATGAGCTTGACTTTGAAAACCTCATGAAATACAATAAAAAAGATGAAATAAATGAGATTGTGATGAAAATGACAACCATGGACGAAGGTGACACAACAAAAGAACAAACCTAGGTTAACGAATTTTTTTGGGAAAACATTTATATTTGCAAGCATATACCACATAGGATGTGTGTTAATATACTATAATCATTATAAAATAATGTTAAATGAATTTAAATTACACGTGTTAGGCTGCATCAGCAGCTGTTAGCTCCATTTAACGTCATGGACAAATCTTATGGATGGAAAACTTTGTAGGAAATTCATTGAAGGAAAAGTTTAGAGGGACTAAAATCGAAAACCGCTATATTTACAGAGACCAAAAACATATTTAACCCTTTAATTAATAGTATTACCTCTTATACATCTCATTTATTTTGGAAAATATTCATATGTAATGGAATTGTGGAAGATAGAATTAAAAACTTCATTCAAATTTATCATCATTAAATAATGAAGGTGTGTTTACGAAAACTCTATTGTAAAAAGTGTGTTGAAAGTT